AGTGAAAATGATGGATAGACTGATAGAAAGAGAACGGAGTGCGGGAGGTGGTTTATGTGAATTTGTTGTTTTTATGGATAGACTGATAGAAAGAGAACGGAGTGCGGGAGGTGGTTTATGTGAATTTGTTGTTTTTATGGATAGAGTGATAGAAAGAGAACGGAGTGCGGGAGGTGGTTTATGTGAATTTGGTGGTTTTTTATGGATAGACTGATAGAAAGAGAACGGAGTACGGGAGGTGGTTTATGTGAATTTGTTTTTTATAGATAGACTGATAGAAAGAGAACGGAGTACGAGAGGTGGTTTATGTGAATTTGTTTTTATATGTATATATTATTTGCTCAGTACATAATGTTAAAACACTTTTTACGCTAGTAAGTAATAGTAAACTACTGCTTTCTGCTTCCGATGAAAACCCATTAAAGTCTAATAGTCGGGCTACGGTGGTTTTTGTTCAAAGCCTTCTTATCTGCTTAGACGTATGGCTCACGCACAACACCGTAGCTTGTCCAACCTTTGCCATTAAAATGTGTGCTAAGCTTTTCGTGAGTCGTTTCTCACCGAGAACAAAGCGATTTTTACTTGTATATAATTTATTGAAGTCATTATGGCCTTAGCGGTATCTGGTTAGCCTACTGCCTCGTCGCTACATTTATATCTATACAACTTTCTTATTATGAAGTGCTATACGCCGGTAGGCTCGTTGCATAGGTATAATCAGAGCTGTTTGTACTTCCAGTCTAAGTCTGTACTTTTATCTTTACTATAGGTTAACTCTAAGACCCAATGATTGTGATGATAAACTAGTAATCTTTATGAAATTATTATTATTATTTTTTATTTTATTTTGGGCAAAGCTACACGAGGGCTACCTGTGCTAGCAGTCTTTAATTTTCAAGCGATAGACTAGAGGGAAGACAACTAAATCAACACCACCCTCACTGTCAGCACTTGGGCTACTCTTATCAGACCGAATAGTGGAATTTGATGGTTACTCTTATAACACAGCTATAGCCCCAATATCCGGCACACTAACAAATGGCAATTTTTCTTTGAGGTTAACTCAAAATGTCATTACAAATTAAAATGTTTCCGATTTGAACAGGATGTTTCCATTTTTTAAGCAGTTCCCACAGTAGATCGGCGAGAAGCTGCAGAGCTTATAATGCTAAAATTCAGGGTTCGATTCTCATTGGGATACAGAGCATATTTCCTTTTTCATAGCTTTGCGCTGAGAACAAACAAACCTTTTTAAACAAACGTTTGAAATCTCCGGACTAGGATTTTTTAGCACGTTAAATATTTTGAGTCTTGTAATTTGGATAAAACGATGAATCAAGTAATTTAACAAAATCAATTATTTGTTAAATTAAAAAACAACTAAAGTTAAATGATTTCTTTAACCCCAACTGAAACCTGTGAAGTAACAAGTCACTTTTAACGAGTCGAGTGAACTACTGCAATCAACCAGAAGTTTTCAGTATAATCATTTAATACTATTACGTCGGATTATTTGATTTTATCTATTGAAGGTTTGCACACAAAAATATTTGGTTCCATGAGACTAGATTGTTTGTTTGTTTGTTTTTGAATTTCGCACAAAGCTGCACGAGGGCTATCTGCGCTAGCCGTCCCTAATTTAGCAGTGAAAGACTAGAGGGAAGGCAGCTAGTCATCACCACCCACCGCCAACTCTTGGGCTACTCTTTTACCAACGAATAGTGGGATTGACCGTCACATTATGACGCCTCCACGGCTGAAAGGGCGAGCATGTTTGGTGGGACGGGGACCACGAGGCAAGAATAAAAAAACAAACAACAACTTAATCATTTAAAATGCAAACAAACGTAGAACTTAAAATGTAGAACGTCATGTGTAGTCAGTTGACTTGTTTGATGAACAGCGTAGGAAAACTTATACATTTGTTTGAACTAAACGTGGTTGAGTACTCTGCCGTTGCGCACTACTGGTTTATTAGCAATGAGAAAACAACCAAAACGAAACGGTGAACAAGCAGCTGACAGCTCGTGAATCTAAAGAAACATTTCAACGACTGTCTTTATGTATATAACCTATAGTCTTATACCAGGTTTGGGAAGTCAGTACTTTTATTTGTTTTAAAGCAACAAAGCAAAAAGATGCCTACAAAACTTCAGATAATGAGATTAAACAAAGGAAAAGTAATTTTGTTTTGTTTGTATTTGTACCTAACTTAAGGAGATAAAAGAGGCCTTTTTTATGGTTAAAAGTTGTATATATAAAAATATATAGTATTTATAAAATAGATGGCAGTTGGGTTGTCAATTATTGTATAATAGTAAAAGTTCCAAAATAAGACCTGTTACTTTCATTGAAAATTCTTAAAAACAATTGCAAAGGCTTTCAATACTATTGAAAAATAGCGAATTTAACGGATTAATTTTAACTTCATAGACACTGTTGACTTTATACTGATTAAACTTATCCACTCTCAAATTATTGGGGTATAAAAGAATAATTTTGAACAACTGGTTAGTTAGTTCGTAATTAAGCACAAAGCTACACAATGGGCTATATGTGCTCTGCCCACCACGGGTATCGAAACCCGGATTCTAGCG